GGACCTCGTTTTCAAAACAGCTAGCGAGAAACAGCTCCGGGGAAACGTGCAAGACTTAGTCAAGAGGAAGCTGTTGCAAATCCCGCAACTCACGGAGATAATCATGGAGGCTTCGCCGGAAGAAGTTGGACGTGACCTAGTGCTATATAAAGAAGAGAAGAGATCAGAGAAAGGGGATTCGACTCATTCGAGACAAAGAGACTCCAATACACTTTGTTCTTAGTCATTCTCTATAAATCATTGTTCTTTCTATTCAGATCGGGAAGATCATCTTTGTAAACTCTTTTATTACCAAAAATCAATATAAGCAACGTATTCATTCATACAAGTTCCAACAGGATTCAGCCTACGATTATCTTTTCCCAATCTATACCTAACCTAAACTAGGAAGTGAGTTTTACCCCTCACAGATACCATGAACAATTATGAATAAAAAATATAATAAACAGTTATGAATAAAACTATAATGAAAAGGCACATATGTTTGAATTATTGAATAAATATATTCTTTCAAATCAACTAACTTTTGAACGGACGCATTGTTTTAAAACAAATTTAAAATATTAAAAATGAAAACACAAAATTACTCTTACAATATATATAATTCGAATAGATACCTCATTTAAGAAAAAAAAAATATATATATATATATATATATATCTTTGAACAAACACATTTTTCAAATTAACTAACTTTTGAACAGACACATTGTACCTCCTTTAAGAAAATATATATATATATATATATATATATATATATATATCTTTGAACAAACACATTTTTCAAATTAACTAATTTTTGAACAGACACATTGTTTCAAAACTATTAAAATATTAAAAATTAGGAATAGACACATTCTTTCAAATTAACTTACTTTTTAATGGATACATTGTTTCAAAATAAAGTTAAAATATTAAAAAAGATACAACCTTTCAATATAATGAAGATTCACAACATTTGGAATTAATGAGGATTGTTATTATCAGTAGATAAAGTTTTTTTCCAACACATTTTTGTTTATTATTTTAATTACTAGTTTTATCATATTAAAAGAATATATGTCATTCATCTATATCTAAAGAAAGAAATAACATTTTAGAGAATAATTTCTCTTTTTGAAAAGGCAAAATGTAGAGAAATAGATTAGTTTTCTAAAATATGTTTTTTGGTTATATTTATTTTTGGAATTTGTGGTTAAATGTCCCATAAACAAAACCTAAAGTATAAATAGCTCGCTCACTCTCCAGTGTGCAGTCACTGCTGAGTCCCTTCTCAAAACCTCAGACGAATCCGAAAATGTCAGCCATGGAAACCCTAATCCTCGAGCTCCACGAGATCGGCGCCGTCAAATTCGGAAACTTCAAGCTCAAATCCGGAATCTACTCCCCCGTCTACATCGACCTCCGCCTCATCGTCTCCTACCCTTCCCTCCTCACCCAAATCTCCCAAACCCTAATCTCCTCCCTCCCTCCCTCCACCTCCTTCGACGTCGTCTGCGGCGTCCCCTACACCGCCCTCCCCATCGCCACCGTCGTCTCCGTCTCCAACTCCATCCCCATGCTCATGCGCCGCAAGGAGATCAAAGACTACGGCACCTCCAAAGCCATCGAAGGCGTCTTCGAAAAGGATCAAACTTGCCTCATAATCGAGGATCTGGTGACGAGTGGTGGCTCTGTGTTGGAGACGGCGGCGCCTCTAAGGGCCGTTGGGCTTAGGGTTAGTGACGCGGTGGTGTTGATTGATAGGGAGCAGGGTGGGAGGGAGAATCTGGAGGAGAATGGGATTAGGTTGCATTCGATGATTAAGTTGACGGAGATGGTTAGGGTTTTGAGGGAGAAGGGGAAGGTTGAGGAGGAGGTGGAGGCGAATTTGATTAGGTTTTTGGAGGAGAATCGTAGGGTTAGTGTTCCGAGTTTGGAAAAGGAGAAGGTGAAGGTTGAGGCTAGGGTTTTGGGGTTTAAGGAAAGGTCGGAGCTTTGTAGGAATCCGATGGGGAAGAAGCTGTTTGAGGTTATGTTGAAGAAGCAAACTAATCTTTGTTTAGCTGCTGATGTTGGTACTGCTGCTGAGTTGCTTGACATTGCTGACAAGGTAATTGGATCTTTTTTGTCTTTTGGACCAGTCATATGGTTTATGTGTTGGTGATCTTTGAAATGTTTATGAAGGTGGGACCTGAGATATGTATGTTGAAGACTCATGTTGACATTCTGCCTGATTTCACCCCTGAATTTGGCGCTAAACTCCGTGCGGTAATATTTACTTACATCTTGATTGTTTGAATGGTCTGGTTACACAAAGAATCTTGTATGTCTGTACGATCGAAACATGAATCATGTGTATAGTGATGTCCTTTAGTCCCCCTTAGATCATCCAATTGTTCTTGATTCACTAAGATGTAACCCTTTTTCGATGCTCATTAATCCACTGTTGATGTTACTTCAGATCGCAGACAAGCACAAGTTTCTCATATTTGAGGATCGCAAGTTTGCAGACATTGGTAACACCGTCACTATGCAGTATGAAGGGTAAGTTTTCTACGTTAAGTTACTTGTTGTTCTTCATTGATATTTTGATAAAGCTTATCTGCTGTGATTTGATTGCAGAGGCGTCTTTAAAATATTAGAGTGGGCTGATATTATAAACGCTCACATAATATCAGGACCAGGAATCGTGGATGGCCTGAAGTTGAAGGTATATGTGTATTCATTTCTTACTTGATTCTCATTTGATTATTTCATTTTTACTAACATCTTGAGGGCGTTCTGCGGTTTCAGGGTTTGCCTCGTGGTAAGGGTCTTCTTTTACTAGCTGAGATGAGCTCTGCTGGTAACCTTGCTACAGGAGACTACACTGCAGCAGCCGTGAAGATCGCAGAGGCTCATTCAGATTTCGTGATGGGATTCATCTCGGTTAATCCGGCGTCTTGGAAATGCGGGTATGTATATCCGTCTATGATTCATGCAACGCCTGGTGTTCAAATGGTGAAAGGCGGTGATGCACTTGGTCAACAGTATAACACTCCACACTCTGTGAGTCTCTCCCCACAACCTTTACATTCAGAGTTAATACCTTAGGCGGGTGATCTCGGGAATATAACGTTGTTTGCTCTTGCTGTCTTGTTTCAGGTGATTACTGAGAGGGGAAGTGATATAATTATTGTGGGAAGGGGAATCATAAAGGCGGAAAGTCCAGCAGAGACGGCTCACGAGTATCGTGTTGAAGGCTGGAAAGCATACTTGGGGAAATGCTCTCAGTAGTTTCAAGCCTGAGACTTGAGAGGTTGTTGATTGTGTTGTGATGCTACAAATTTGTGGAAGATTTGTATGTGTGAGGATGGATTTTAAAACTCATGTCCGGTCGATTTGTCACTTGATCTCAAATCTCAATAATATAATAAAGTTACGAATGACAACCTTAGATTGGGTTTTGAATTTGATCATTGGTGCAAAGCTTTGAAAAAACTTTACCAATATCCCTCCAGAACTCTCTCTAACCTTGAATGAGTCTCACAACCAAGATCTCATCTTTCAACTAAATCATAAAAGAAAGCACTCTAATAAGCTAAGAGCATACGCATCGGGGGATCATCCCGAATCCTTAGCGCTAATACATATGTTTGTTTTAATATAATAACTAGATTTTGACTCGCGCTTAAAAGCGCGGAAATTTTTTATGATTAAAAATTTATATAATTGGGTTTTGTCATAATTTAAATAATATTTTGATATAAAATCAGTTCACCAAAATTTGTGGTGATGATTGTTTTTCATTAGTTTTTAGTTTCGGTTTTTATTTTTAGATTTTGGATTTGGGTTTTTAGTTTTTAAGTTTCTACTTTTCATTTTCAGTTTTTGGTTTGGGTTTTTAATTTTTAAACCCGCTGAGTTAGTTTGAACAAATATTACCAACAAACAAATCTCAAATAATCGAACATCTAATTTAAAACTGAAAAGATGAAAACAAATTTAAAAAAAAATTGAAATATTTTATTTTGTAAATAAACAAAGCAAAAAAATATAATATGTGTTTTCAGCTTTTGGTTTTGGATTTTAGTTTTTAGATTTGGTTTTTGGTTTTGCTTTACATTTTTTTTAATCAGTAAATTATTTAAGAAAAATAAAACAATAAATTATTTAAAAGTTACCATTGAAATTTATCAAAACAAAGTGATTGTTATTTAAAATAAAAAATATATTAACATGTTTTAAAGTACATGATTTAAATAAATGATTAATAATGGATAATTTTGTTTAGTTAAAAATATTAAATACCTTTTGGGTCTGAAAATAATAATTAATTTTTTGATCTTTTATGGTGAAAAGTTTATTCAATGTTTTTGGAGTTTTTTCTTAATAGTAAGCGCAAAAACCAAACTATATAATTTGTTCAAAAAATAAATGTAAGCCCAAAACTATATTTTATAAATAACCACTCGTTTAATTTAAGTATAATTAGTAGACTTACATATTCCATATTTTGATGATATATATTCTTTTAGAACATTCCATATTTGTAGGAGAAAATATGTGTTTTTGGTATACACATAGATATCTACCGTATTTTGAAGGTAGTTTACATTAATGTCGTCTTTTTACATTAATTTTGTTGGTTTAATTTAAGTAATACGGTTCAATCAATTATATAACTTATATTATTTGTAACATTCTAGAAAGAGTCTAAATTTAAATGACAACTTGTATCAGTAGATAAAAAGAATGGCTCTATTTTAATAGAGTAGATGATATTTATGCTAATAAATCTAAAGACTGATCCGTTAATAAGAGATTGAAGGATTTGATCCTTGGAAGACGTGGCCGATTTTCAGCCTATCGGCTGCTTTTGTGTTTCGTCTGGGGCGAAAAAAAATTCATTTTGTACGAAGCAAAAGAAAAAAAAAACCATTCGATCGAAAGCAGAAAAAAGGCGATCTCAAATCTCTGTGTATCGAAGGTAAATCGATCCCTAATCTCGTCGATTTCGTGATTTCTATTAGGTTGCATGTTGATATCTACGCCTCTACGGTTCGGATTTGTGTTTTACCTTCGAGTTTGAAAAGTAATTTTGTAGTTAGGGGTTGAAATGAAATCGGTTTGAGTCGAAACCGGTTTGATGTCCGAATCACGTTTTTAAACGATTTTGGGGTTACGAAATTGATTGTGGAAGTTTGTCTTTTTAGCTATGATCATTTGCTAATTGATCAAATTATGGTTTCCAGTTTTACAATTATGGATTAATTGTTATTGAAATGGGTTTCTATTACGTTTTTATGTATGATAATTAATTGGTATGAGCTTGGTTATAAAAGACTCGTCCTTCTTGAGCCATGGCGATGAGTAGAAAGCCTTAGGCATTTCCTTAAAGCGCTAGTTTGATAAGAGGTGAATTCTAGTCAATCTTGTCTTGATGAATGAGTCACTTCTCTGATATTGTTTAACAATGTTTTGAAATAAACCAACTAAAGTGTCTTGTTCGTTGTGTGTTTGATCCGTAAGGCGAATTCTTAAAATTTGATTGTTTGATAGATTTGCAATCTCGTTGTTTATCGTTGTTGGTCCTTAATCAAATGACTGTTCTTAATCAAATGATTTGGTTGTATTATTTTTGACATGTAACATTGTTTCCATTTTGTTTACAGATGGCGAATCAGCATGAACCTCACTTCTTGAAGCCTTTGCTTCCTGGTTTCTACAGTGGCGTGACAATACCACTTGCCTTTTACTCAAAACACATAGAAAGCAAGCCGAACCAAGGAGTATAGACACTACGATCGGACGCAGCCCACAAAACTTGGGAAGTTATACAAGAAGGAAGAAGACTCACTGGTGGTTGGAAAGACTTCGCCAAAGCACACTCCCTTCGCATCGGTGACATTGTCGTGTTCAAAAAGGAAGGAGACATGGTCTTTCATGTGACGCCTTTCGGTCCTAGTTTTACTGAGATTCAGTATACACCTCCTCAAGGGGATGATGCTGCGGATGGTGTAGAGGTCACTCCTTCTTTCTCATTTGACTATTGTTTTTTGGCTGAGGTTACTCCGTCAAATCTCTCTGAAGACAAACTTGTGAGTAGTTTACTTTATGTGTATGAATTTAAAATCTTCGTGAATATACACTTGTGATCTGTTATCTGTCTTTACCTTTTTAGTTTGCAGCATCTTCCTTTGGAGGCTACGCAGTGTACTGCTTTGAACAATCAATGCCGAGAAGCAAAATTGGTGAACAAAGAGGGGAAGTCATGGTCAGTCAGCTTGTAATTCAATGAAGCACGTGGCATGTTCTACATCGGAAGAGGCTGGAGAAGGTTTTGTGTTGACAACAGAAGTACCGTAGGAGACTTATTTGTCTTCAATGTGGTTGGAGATGGAGAAACTTCTCCATTGCTGTGTGTATGTCCGGAAAGGAAAGAGTGTACGGACTTACTGACCAACTACTTGAGCAGCAAGAATGGTGCCTCAACTTCCTTGTCATTTCCTATATAATGCATGTTTGTCTTGCTTTTGTCTTGGATGACCTCTATGTTGTTGTTCCCTTGTCTGAAAATGTTTTTAAACCTATGACTTTTAATGGGATGATCAACTCGTATTTAATCATGTTTTAACTAATTATTGTCTTTTTATATTTAATCATGTTTTAAATAATCATTGTAATTTTATATTTAATCATACCTACACACTATGAAATTATTTAAAAAAATGGGAACCAAGAATAACAAGTATTTGATCTTTAAATGTAATATATGATTAAATCAAATTCTGAATAAAAATGTTTAATATTAATTTTTTTACATGTTTTAAATTTTATTATTATTTTATTCGTAAGGACTCCTAAGTAAGTATCACCATTGGACTAACATTTTAGTTAGGAATCCTTAACTATTACATAAAAAAAAAAAAAAAAAAAAATTAATAAACTACTCATAAGGACTCCAATGGTGCACCATCGGAGATGCTCTAAGCTCATAACGATATAGAAATCCTAAGGAACATAAAACTAAAACAGCCTTGTCCTCAAGGCTGGACTCGGAAGGTGACCAAATAAACCCAAGGAGTTCACTCCAGAGCACGCCCTTCAAAAACAATGAAATCATCCTCATCGAAATCCAGATGAGTTGGAGGAGTATTAGTCAAAACTTGTTGGTTTTCGCAAACAAGTTTGGGCTGTCGTTTCTCAGAAACTTGAGGCTGGACCTTGAAAATAACAACTTCTCCCTCTATACCTAAGTCATGAATCTCTGTTGCTTGATCCTTGAACTCGTCAAACTTCTTAATGACACAGTAGCTTCTTTTAATAGGGATCACAACAAAATCTGTAGACGTTTCTTGAGCTACTTCCATTTGAGTTGCAGCAACCATTTCCGTTTCCCTCAAAATTCGATCTAAAACATCCTTTAAACCAGCTTGAACACCATCCAACTTTTCACCCAGACATCCCTCAGGTTGAGTAGTAGTCATGTCTTTAGGCAAATCAGAATAATAACACCAAAAAGAGAACTGATATTCAGCCAATGATCTCTCTGGCGTGGATGAGTCTCACAAATGAGATCATGTTACATATAGAGCGCTAAGGAAATAGTTAAGAAATGGAAATGCTAAATATTTTCGTAAATCCATAAATATAAATTCTAGTTTAATAAAGGAACATTAATCCAAAACGGATCACATCTTTTTCCATTTTTTCTAGATACTTGACTATGGGGGTGATTGGCGAGTGTTGTGATTTTTATTTTTTAGCTTTAGAATAGTATCTGTTGATTCTATTGCTTTAATTGTAGATTTTATTGCTGTAGATTTTTATTAATAATTTTCACAGCACTAAATATAAAGCTCTAGATAAAGAGAAATTCTTGGGTTCATCTCCTAAGCAACCAATAGGATTTCATTGTTTTATATTTTGTATCTTTTAAAAAAGGAACCAAAATATTATCGAATTATATTATGTTTTTAAAATTAAAAGATAAAAATAAATATATAAAATAGTAGTTATAAATAAAAAACGTTTTTAAATAAATATTTTTATTACCCCCAACAAAACACTAAACCCTAAATCCTAAACCATTGGATAAATCCTCAACTCTTGGATTAATCTTAAACCATAAGATTTATGATTAATCCAAGGGTTTAGAGTTTACTTAAGGGTTTAGTGTTTTTGTGTCAGTATCCCAAATATTTAAATCACAGATTTATCCAAGGGTTTAGGGTTTACCCAAGGGTTTAGGATTAGGGTTTAGGGTTTAGTATTTTGCTTACGGTGTTAAAAATATTATTTTTAAAAAAAAATTGTTTGCAACTAATATTATTTTTATTATCTTTTATTTTTTTATTTTAAAAACATAATATAACTGAATAATATTTTGTTTCCTTTTTTAAAAGATACTAAATATAAAACAATGAAATTCTATTGGTTGTTGAACC